GGGGGGCTCCCTGGCTTTGTTCTGCAGCAGTAACTCTGAGACCTGCAGCTGCTGGAGACGTCCGACAAACACAGAGGCAGCTCTGTGGTGAGTCGAGCTGGAGGGCAGGAAGTAAAGACCTCAGAGAATTCTCAGACATAATAGAACGTGTAGGGACACAGACACATGTAGTGTGTTTTAATAAACTGTATTTAATTCATAAGTTGATTAAAATGCAAAACAAAAGAGCATTTAGGCCCAACCTGGATCTTTTGTTTGGAAAATCCATTCTCTGCTCTTTGTCCGAGTCACGTTGAGGATCCAAAGAAAATATTATTAACACTGGAGATGGTCTAACTTTCATGATAATTCAATTTATGGTTCAGTTCCACCACAACATTTTTCATATGATCTCCAACACGTTGTGTGTCTGTGAGGAAGCAGCTGTGTCAGGCCTCAGGGGAAATCCTCAAGAGCTCAACACTGTAAAGAAATGAATGTTTTCTAAAAGAATGAAGTCGGTGCTCTGAAACAAGACTGAAACATTTTCAGGGTTTTAATGTTAAAGTGAGTTTAGAGCGACAGAGGTGAGAGCAGGTCTGGAAGTGAAGCAGCTGAGTTAGTTTGTATGAGAGCGAGCAGACGAACACAGAAGATCAAGAGTTCATCTGTAACATCATCACATGGAATAGAGAGAGAGAACCCGGCTGTTGTTCTGCAGCTGCTGCTGATTTACTGATTGATGAGGAGTCTCACCCACAGACATGAACGCTGCTGCCTGCAGGGTCCCACTGATCCATCACGTTTCCCCGAACGTCAAATAATCATGTGACGTCACAGGCCTCCGAACAATTGATAGTTTCCAAAACAGCTGCAGCATCGTCCCACCAGTGATGTCAGAGGCCACAGACGTCAAGGTCAGATTGTGCGTCGCAATCAGTCGATTAGAGAAATGAGAACTTTCCTGTGTTTGTCAACTGATGTAAAGACACAACTCCACATTTGAAATCGAACCAACTGTAACAAATCAGAGACGAGCTGATAAATAAGCAAATATCAGGTTGTTCATTCTGAGGGGAGATGAAAAAAGACAGATGAGGATTATCTCTCACTCAGCAGAGTGTTCACACATGTTGTTCTAGATCAAGAGTTGGATCCGGGTGAATGATTGTTCTCCATCTTGTCCTACGTTGTGAAATGAACCAAGTGTGAAGGTCTTTTGATGGACTCAGGTGTTCTGCATTAAGACTAATCGAGCAGTTTACTGATGTTTAAAAAAGACGAGTTGATTCAATCATTGATTTGTTTCTCTTGTTGCACACCGGTGCTCACTGACTGGATGTGAATGGGAGCGTGCAACAGTGCACAGCTGATGATTATGAAATACAGAGAGTGGAGGACGTGGAAGGTGGACAGACAAACGCAGCTGAGGACATCAGTGATTTTAGTTTTACGTTAGTAGGACTGTAAAACACTGTGACTCAGCTAATGACACGTGAGCTGCAGTGTTTCTGTTGGTGACTGCATGATGATGAACAATGATGAAAGTTTTTTATAGAATATATTTTATAGTTTGCAAATAAAGGGTCACATTTGCTATTTTACAACTGAAGGCTCATCTCCACGAGGCCGCATGAAGACAACAAAGTTCACAGAAGTGAAAGTTACATCAAGCACTTGAGTAACCTCAGTTCTTTCCAGCGTGCACAACAACACACACATGCACGAAACTTCACGTCCCATCATCCCCTCCTCTCCTCTCTCACACGTCACACACGCCCACCAATCGTGGCCTGTGTTTATCCTGCAGCTTCTATAAACCAGACGTGCTCCACGCTGCAGGACTCTGCCACCACTGCCCACTTTAAAGTTCCCCAACAAGAAGCTTAGATCTGACAACTGATCTCAAGTTAAAGTCCAGCTCCAGGTCTCTGAGTTAGTTTAGATCTGTCCCATCATGCGTGTCCAGTTTGTCCTGTGCGTCATGTCCCTGCTGGCCTGCTCCTGTCTGGTGGCCGAGGCGCGGATCACTAAACGCTTCGCCATCGGCTGCCCGGACAAGTGCGACAAGTCCCAGTGCGCCCCGATCCCCGCGGACTGTCTGGCCGGTGACGTGCTGGACCGATGTGACTGCTGCCCGGTGTGCGCGTCCGGCGAGGGCGAGCCGTGCGGCGGCACCGGAGACCAAGAGTGCGCAGAGTCCATGGAGTGCGTGGTGACCGACGGCGTGGAGGTGTCCGCCACCGTCCGACGGAGGGGCAAGGCCGGCGTGTGCGCGTGCACCAGCCTCGAGCCGGTGTGCGGCAGCGACGGCGTCTCGTACCGGAACATCTGCGAGCTGAAGCGCGTCAGTAACCGGGCCACGAAGCTGCAGCAGCCGCCGGTGATCTTCATCCAGAGAGGCGCGTGTGGCAAAGGTAAGAGGGGTGTGTGTGTGTGTGTGTGTGTGTG